ACTTTTTGTTCCCTTTTGTAAGTTTTGCGCCCCTTAGCTTCCAAAATTTAAGAGGTCAGAACAAAATGGAAATGTTTAAGGTGAGTTAGGCAGAGCCCATACACCTACTGCTCAAGGAATGTTTTTGGTACTGTAGGTAATAAATACAGGATGATTTTTTAAAAACCAACTGTACAACTTTTTTTTTATAGTATAGGGCTTTAAGGCGCTCGCAACTGCATAAGGTCATATGAGCGCCAACAACTTTTTTTCTAAATATCTCGCACAAAATGTTTACTACAATGTTGTAATTTGTAAAAGTGAAAAGATATACAAGTAATTCATTCAAAAATGAATTTATTTGACATAAAATTCACAAAGAAGAGCCTTATTTAGAAAACGAGAAACGGCTTTTATTTTTATTTTTTAAAAGAAACACTTATAAATGCAAAATGCACCAATATAAAAGATTTTATAATGATAGTCATGAATTGATTGTTGTTGGGTTGGGTTTTTTTTGTTTCCTTTCTTTTTATTTTTAAAATCAAATCTTTCCGTCCCTGTAACCTTTAAAAAATATTTCTTTTCTCCTGCAGAGTTGAAATTTTTTAAATTATCCTGGAATTCCGAGAACCAATGGTCTATATGTCCTCCTTTGGACTTGACACATTTTAATGCGTCGTTCGTAAGGTTCAGTGGTGGCCAAACACAAGGATCCACTCAACAATGAGTACTCAAAGCCACACACACTGTACACCTTACAGTATGGAGCTGTGTCTAGAGAAAGTGGGGGGAGGGGGTTTACCCAAAAAGACATAATTCGTGGAGTTGATATAACCTGAAAGGTGAATATTATGGGCTTTGCAAAGGAACCAAATATCATAGAGGAAATATTCACGCTTTTCAAGACAATCGAGGAATCATGAACACATTGCTATCCCACTCTGATAGCTTCGCGTACTGGAAAATGGTACAGTTGTAGATGAAGATCTGCCTCGAGAATGCGGACCGTTGAGATGTAGGAAAGTCTTAGCCACAGACATTGTCTACGGACATACGTCTCATGGGGCTCATCTACTGAATTCTGCACCCTGGTGACGTTTAAGTGAGAACGGTGCGTGTTTCTTTTATAACAAGGGTAGAAATGGTCCATCAGTCAGAACCTGTAGAGAATCAGAACAAAATCCTTAAGGACACTTTAACATTATTTCCGTACCTTGTGCAAAACTTACGAAATGAGTTGGTGCTGAGGAAATGTTCAATACAAAAAGCTCTCTGTTCTTTACTATTTCTTATCATGATCTCGGACTCGCAACCGTAAAGTCGTGGGTTCGAATCCCGTCAGGGGCCCGACGTTGCGTCCTTGGGAAAGGCCCTTTACATGAATTTTCCTCACTTCACCCAGGTGGGAATGGGTACGGGGCTATAGACTAGACAGCGAAAGATCTTGTCAGTTTGTTAGTGTTTGAGCGCTTAATCAGCTGCGTGCACTGTATGCTTCCCAGGAAGCTGAGAATGTTTCGGAGTGTTCTATGGTCTGCTGGGGTAATAATTTACTGTAAAGCGCAATGAGCTTGCTGTTGAGTGGGATATGTGTTATACAAATGCTATGTATTAGTATTATTATCTCAGCAGGCCAAGGAAACTTGAGAATAACTATCTGCAAACCTCTGTTGGCCTGTTAGACTACTGTAGTTTGCAATATGGCGCAATTGTAGGGATTTTTAATGACATGCCTAACGCAAACTAGTGCTTCAAGCTACCAAAATGGGGATAAAGTTAAAGCTGAAAATAGGTTGGTTTTTACGCGCTATGTAGAGCAAAATTGTTTTGTAGATTAATCTAAAATGAATATCAGACAAATTCCTTTCGACATCCAAATGTTGAGTATAAATTTGAAACACAGAACTTCAGTGGGGAGGAAAATCTTAACAAAATAAAGTTGTACAGTTTTTTGGGGGATCACCTTTGTATTACAGTATCAACCTCTGGATAAAGCAAATAAATGTAACGCAAATATAATATAGAAAATAATTAGTTCTGTGTAACCTTCACGCTTAGACCACTATATCAGCTCCACCCTATCCTCCGTTCCAAATCCCCGCCA